AGTAAACACAGAAAATTTAGTATTGTATGTTGCTGTCTCGTCACAAGAATGCAGAGAAAAATCAGGACATAAAGGTAGGTAACAGATGTTTCGAAAATGTGGCACAGTTCAAATATTTGGGAAAGACGATAACAGATCAAACCTCAATGAGGAGGAAATTAAGAGGAGATTGAACTTGCGTAACTGGTCTAGAAAACCGAAATTAACGGCCGTGGGGATTCGTTGCGCTGACCACGCAACACCATCTATCCGCTAAAGTTGGCACTAGCTTCGCGAGACAAGCGGCGGTCGCCCGGTCGGTATAGTTCGCTTGCGGACTCAAGCCACGGAGTTTGAACTTGGGTAATGCTTGCTACCATTCAGCCCAGAACCGTTTGTCTTCTCGTCTGCTATCCAAAAACATAAAAATTGGAATATACAAAATCATAATTTTGCTTGTGGTTCTGTATGGGTGTGAAACTTGGTCTCTGACATTAAGGGAGGGACATACACTGAGGGTGTTTGAGAACAGGGTCTTGAGGAGAATATTTAGACTGAAGAGGGATGAAGTGACAGGAGGTTGGAGAAAACTGCATAATGAGGCGCTTCATAACTTGTACTCTTCTCCAAGCATAATTAGAATGATCAAGTCAAGGAGGATGAGGTGGGCAGGGCATATAGCACGAATGGGGAGAGAAGGAATGCATATAGGATATTGGTGGGAAAGTCAGAAGGAAAGAGACTACTGGGAAGACGAAGGCGTAGGTGTGTGGACAATATTAAAATGGATCTTAGAGAGGTAGGATGGGATGGTATGGATTGGATAGATCTGGCTCAGGATAGGGACCAGTGGAGGGCTCTTATGAACACGGGTTCCATAGAATGCTGAAAAATTCTTGAGTAGCTTCAGAATTGGCGGCTCATCACGACGGGCTCAGCTCCATAATTAAGTTATTATTATTTATTCTTAGTGGGGTGAGACTGAGTCCACTTGGCACTGCGGCCACTTCTAGCCTTTCGTACCAATCCCAGATGACAGATGAGAGTGAATTTGGAGCAATTGGTTGACTGAAGATTGGCAGGGGAAACCGAAGTACTCGGAGAAATCCTGCCCAAGTGCCACTTTGTCCACAACAAATCCCACATGACCAGACCTGGGCTCCAACCCTGGCCGCCGCGGTGGGAAGACAGCGACTAACCGCCTTATCTGTGGCACGGCCAGTTGTCTACCTTTAACACGTTACATGAACGTAAATTATGTAGTATGTTACGGACAAGTAGGAGGTTTTCGTTTTGGTGTATCGTGTCTATTCTGTGAGTACTCATAATATTTCGATGTGGGTTTGTGAAGTGTAGTACACTATGTACAGGATTTACTACGATTTACTATTTGTACTTCTTATTCGTGGGAGATGGCGTTAAGTATCCACCTCGAAGCCTCATCCGGTAGCATGAAGGACTGGAAAGGTATAGGGGAGGTTTGTTTGACGACGTTGTCAGTGTCTGCTGGTAGGATGATTGGAGAATGGGAAAGGATTTTGAAGGAAGTGGTCGTGCCCTGCTCGAGATACTGTTCCCGTATTTTCCCGGAGGGACTCTGCAAAGCTAAAGATATTGTCACGTGTTAGGGGTTGGCGTGACGAATAACAATGAATTCTGGATTTGATGATTGTGTTTAATGGCGCTTCCTTGCATGAATATAACATCTCACGCATTGAACTCCTTCTGAACGACGTCTGTCTGACGAACCTCTATGAAGAATCTCTGACTGCCTTCTGCTACTCACGAATTCACGAATACACTGCCTTTTAAAACTGCCACGCGGCCGGGATAGATGTCACCATGTTGAACAGTTCTTCTGTTCTTTTGTATTGTCACGGAAATGCCTTTGTTACCAGTGGTTGCCGCAGAAACAAGTATTTACCTAGCCGTTGCCTAACAAAAATGACTTCCGCGTCTGCTATTATTACGGCTTTTAGGCAGTGTTTGTCTATCCGTTGCCTGGCAAATGGTCATATTCCTTCACAGTGTCTTCAGTCGGGATAGCCGGTGCCCTAGCCAAGATTCGAACCGAGCAACTCTGGTATATGCGTCTAGCGCGTTACGTGTGTACCAACCCACTCGACCACGCCAGCAAAACACGTGCAGTGTACAGCCCTGCCAGTTCTTGTGAGCGTCTCAGAACACTGGCAAGGAACCCGCTGACATAGAGCACTGCCCATGAGATCGCGGGAAGTCTTGCTGCGGGTATTTTAAGACTGCCGTTTGACCAGAGGAGGCATGCAGCTAGTTTCTGTCGAAAACAAATCATTTGATGAGTTCAATCTGTGTCAAATGTCTCATCGAAACGCGAGTTAATTCTTAGCCATATAAATGGACGGCCCAGCCCAATTTCACTGAGCCCGGATGGCTTAGTCGGTATAGCGACTGGCTACGAGGCTGGACGACGAAGGGTCGGAGTTCGAGTCCCCGTAGCGTCAAGGTTTTTCTCTTCTTTACGTCGTCTAGACCGGCTCTGGGGTCCACCCAACCTCCTATCCAATGGCTCTTTTCCCGGAGGTAAAGCGGCAGGGGCGTGAAGCTGGCCACTCACCTCCAGCTAGCTCCGATGTCAAGAAAATATTAATCTATAAATCTATTCCCCCATACGCCCTCATGTCGTAGTTCTTAATTAGCTAAGCACAAAAACAACTTTACCTTTCTATCTCCTCAGTCCAATTTCCACTCAGCGGGTGTTCAGCCCGTATTAAGCAGAATCTCTTGGTGAAAATGAACTACAGAAATAAGTTTTATGTAATAGTGAGGTGGCATACTTCAACCCTGACATCCACAGGGAGCCAGGGCAGTTCAGTCAGTGTAGCAATGCGCTAGGGACTATAGAGCCGAGGGATTGGGGTTCGATTTTGGGCAGGGGTAAGAACTTTTCTATTCACAGCACCCAAACAGATTCTGAGGCTCACCCAGCCCCCTATTCATTAGGTCCCGGCGAGAGGGGCTTCTTTCCCTGGGGTAAAGCGGGCGAGATTAAGAATGCGTGGAGCTATACCTTCACTTCCCAATGCATCTTCATGTCGTGGTGAGTAATTAGTTAAGCACAAGGATAACTCTGGTCTCCCAGTAAATCTTAATAGTATGCATCCTGCTGTGTGTTATAAATAAGGTATATAAATGTATATAAAAGTATGCAGTCTACACAACAACATTATGTGCTTAAAAACAAAGTAGACACTATTGTATCAACATTTGTTTTTATTGACGCTACATGTTTCGACCCGTATATTGGGTCATCATCAGGCGTACAATGATACCAGTCTCAGCTGTTCAACTGTATCTAACTATTGGCATCTAATTCTTCAATACGAATCCTTATTGTGCTCTTGAGAGTTTTTAAATGCATAAATTGAATCGTTCAGTTAAAATTTAAAATACTTAGATAATAAAATTTAAAAATTAAAGACTAAAGATTAAAACATAAAATCAAAATTGTACTAAAATGGAAATGAAGTATTTTCCGATAAATCTTTAAAACTTTGAGGCCGTTACGTGTTGGCGTGGTTTTCTGGTGGTAGAAGCGACTGTAGTGCGGGGCGCCTGCGCACTGGGTTCATCTCACGTAAGTCTTGGCCTTACTATCGTCTTGTGGAGCTTATGATCGTTATTCTGTATGTCACCCAACCGGTTGTTTATTTAGAGTGATCTATAACAGTTTGAGTTTACTTTAATATTTCTTTAATTCGCTTAGTGGTGNGCTCCCTGTGTTGATGTCGCTATGTTGTAGCAAGCGACAAGAAAAATACATTTACTACGTTTGCGCGTGGAAGAGTTTAATTGCTGATGCTTCTACATGGCTATTATGAACTTGATGTCCACGTTCTGTCTAACTCAGATATATCGTTCATTCGTTCATTCATTCATTGTTGGAGGAGGTGGGTTTCCCCAAGCACTTAGACCAGTTATTGGTCCATTGAAAACCAATGACCCCATCGGGATTTGAACCCGCCGCCTTCCTGCTTGTAGCGTAGCACCTCAACCACTACGCTAACACGTAGACATCAAATATATCGATACATAACACTACTTTGGCGCACGCGGTAACGTAGTTGGTTGAGATACTATGCTACAAGTCGGAAGGTTGCGGGTTCGAGTCCCGATGAGGTGTTTTTTTTTTCAATTTACCTAATTCTTCCAGCCGCACTATGGCCCTGTCATAGACTCAGCCCGTAACAGAAATGAGTGCCATGAATTTTCCTGAGGGTTAAATGGCGGCCGGTGCGTAAGGCTGACAACATTACCGCCATCTGTGGGCCTTCATGGCCGGTTACAGGGATAATTCTACATTTGTTCAGATCTTGTGTGTATGACTCACAAGGAAAGAAGCCGTGGGCGAAGGGCGAGAGAGTGGAGTGATAATTGGCAAGAGAGAACCGAAGTACTCGGAGTCTACCTCGGTACCACTTAGCCCACCACAAATCCCACGCGAATTGCCCTAAGACTGAACCTGGGCCTTCGCGGTGAGAAGCCCGCAACTACCCGCCAGAGAAACAGCAGCTGTCCTCTTGTATCAAGTTGCAGTCTGCTTGTAGCGTGGCGATGGAGAATGTTTGTATTTCTTTGTGGGCCATCTCTCATTTCTGTTGTTGACTTATATTTTCTGGAGAACATTTTCCTTGTTCTTCTACTGTTTCTGCCTTTATTGACGCGTGGCGAAGAGCCTTCATTTATTCCATTTTAAATTCCAAATTCCATACCAATTTCTTACGACGTCGGCTCCCAGTCAACTCCCCTGCTTTACTTCCCCTCCCTTTATTTCCCAGTATCATCTTGGAAACGGAGGGGGTTGAGGGGAACTGGGAATTGCCTCTCCTGAAATATTCTTTCTCCTCCCTGATGAAGAACACGCGAATTAAAATGTCTTCCAAAAATACGACGGCCATGTCATTCATAGTATCCTGTATGGCCTCCCCTCCCTTCACGGTGGTTGGCTCGCCATTTTTGGGTCCCTCCCGGGGAGCCCGCTGAGTGAGGGCTGGGTCCCGTTCCAGGAGCGACGCCAGTGCTAGCACGGGGCTTCTGCGACGCGAGCGCCGGCCAGTACCGCTGCCTGTTCCTAGCACTCGGTCCGCTGTGGGCAGTCCATTCCAACAGGTAAGTATTCATTTTGTTGGATTCCAGCGATTTGCGCTCATCCGCATCCACCCCTCTCTGCAGCATGTGGTACGTGGACCAGTGAGCTGCAGAGGCCGCGCCATAGCTCAAGGGGGTTCGATCCCGGGTCTGTTCAAGTGGGATTTTTGGCGGACAAAGTGGAGCTGGGGCGAGTTCTCTCCGAGTACTTCGGTTTCCCCTGCCAATCTTAATTGTACCAAATTCTCCTTCATCATAATCACCCGGGGAAGGCTACAATAGGCCAATCAGTGGCCGCCGTGCCCAGTGGAGCCAATTGGACTCCACCCCCCCACTATGCAAATTAAAAAATTAATCAGCTGCATTTGCTGCGTTTCATGAAAATGAAGCTGCAGATTAGAAAAATAGCAATTCACTTTTTTGTCTGTTAAAACGGTCTGAATGGGCCAATTGTCTTATCAGATTTGACACACAGAACGTGGAAGGTGTAATTATTTTGCAGTGTATGAACCTTTCTTACATTTAGGTAAACTAGGGAAGTCCACATTGGAATCAGCGGTAAGCTGGAAACTTTGCTATAGGCCATCTTGTTTGAGAGAAAAAAATTCCTTACTAGAAGGAAATATAAGTACAGCGTAGAGTGGAATTATTTAGAAGAAACGTTTAGAGGTTTGTTATAATAAAGCGCATTGCTATTCATGTTTATTTAAGCTATAAGAATCATGAAAAGGTAAAGTTGTTCCTTTGCTTAACTAATTAAGAACTACGCCATGAAGGCTTATGGGGGAGTGGATGTATAGACCCACGTTTTCTTGACCTTGCACTAGTTGGAGGTGAGTGGTGAGCTTCACGCTTCGGGCACTTAACCCCTGGGGAAACAGTCCCCACAGCCCATTGGATAGGAGGCTGGGTGGGCCCCAGAACCGGTTGCCGGACTGGATAAGTGAAAATTCTTGCTCCCACCGGGACTCGAACTCCGACCCCTCGGTCGTCCAGCCCGTAGCCAGTTGCTATACCGACTGCGCTATCGTGACTCTCCTCTATACAAAGAGTTGCTATTCAGAAACAACTTATGGGCATCTAATAACTAATTAAGGAAATGCCAAGAGGCAATTCATCAGTAACTGACTCTACACGTTTTGTGCTCAGGAATTAAGACGGTCTAGCAACGTACTAGCGCTCAGCAGTGCCTTCTTGTGACAACTCGAAACTACGTTCACTCACAGTTACAAAACACACATATGTACAGTGTGTAAAAGTAAAGCTATTCCTGTAACAGGCCGTGAAGGCCCATAGGGTTGTGAGACGTTGAGGCTCCCACATTATCTAGACAATCGGCTCAAAGATGGCGGTAAGGTTGTCAGCCCTACGAGCCGGCCGCGCTTTACTCCCCAGGAAAATTCTTTAATTAATTCCTGGTACTCATTTCTGTTAGAGGCTGTGTGTGTGTGTGTATATATATATATATATATATATGTTTGTATGGATAGCACGTCGGTCACAGTGGCCGCGCGGTTTAGGCATGAACTGTCTTCGCTTGCTTGGACGCTGGAATCGTGGGATCGAATCCCAGTCAAGGCGTGGATGTTTGGTGTACGTGTGCATTTATTCTGTTTGTGCTGTCCTGTGTGTAGGTAGCGGCCATGCGACGGGCTGGTCACTCGTCGAAGGAGTCCTACCTTCCGTGAAAAATGATAGCGGAACTGAATAAGAGGTCACGAGCCTTGGGGAAACATGGAGAGTATAGTTGTGTAGCACGGATATGCGGGCCAGGTCAGCAGTATGAAGAACTTTTCGAAGTCCATGGTGCATTCCATGATAATCATAATTTACCATTCATAATTAAACTGCTCGTAAGCAACAAAGAATATATTTCTGTACATTTTCATGTAGCGTTGACGTATTGCGGACCTCAGTGTAGGAACCGTAATGCTGCGTTATAGCGTGGCAACTTACATGTATTACGTAGTGAGTGCAAATTTGCAGTTTACTTATAAGACTGTACTGCTATGACGCAACAATGGTTGCTCATTAGCAGAAGGAAACTGCCGGGAGCTAAGTTTGGCTGTGCTACGGGACCTACAAACAGTTACGTAGAAGGTAGGATTTGTGGAGTGTTCAATGTTACTTGTGGCCAGAGTATCACTGTATTCTGCGCCAATTTCAATATCGGAATACACCTGGTGGAACTATTGCTTAACCACATTAAGTACAAATGCCCTTACCTGGACGCCGCGTCAGTGCGTGTACACTCGTGCGAAATTAATAACAAATACAATTCAATTGAATTCTTCATTTATTTACGTGGTTACTAGAGAGCCTAAAGGCCAGTTATCAAGTAGGCGTGAGCAGGGAGACGAAACAAAACACAAAAAGACTACTACTACTACATTAATTCAGTTCTTATTTATTTATGTGCTAACTTAACAGCCAAAAGGCCAATTATAAACGTGAACACAACTAAAGGAAAAGAAACAAGACACACACAAATAGGATACAATAATAAGACAATTTATACCATTTGAATAATAATAATAATAATAATAATAAGCAATAACTTTCAGTCATGATCTCCATATATTGGCTACTTCCACGTCCTCTTCTTTTTCAAATATCTTCATATTCACAAAATTCCATTTAATGTTTTGTTGTAATAAAAAATGACCGCTAATAAATATTTTAATAAATTAACGACAAAACATCCTTTAGCTTCTAGTATTACAGCTCCCAATCTTCTCCGCGTTCGCTGTACTAAACTGTTAGTTGTCTCTTTACCGATATATGCCCACGAAACAAACACTGCCCTTCTCAAGTCACCTTTCATTTTGAATTCTCGTCCTATCCAGTAAAGTGTTGTACTTTTAGCCAACTTTCCTTTCTCTGAAGTCATGAAAGTAGATTTTCACGATCTCCACGCCGTCTGTGTGTCTGTATACCACCCCCTATTAACTTTTCAATGCCTGAACCAGTCTTTACGAAACTTGGCAAAACGTCACCACGGCAATGAACAATAACAATAGCAGAAATGTTGGACGCGTCTTTTTCTGTGCGGGCTGTGTCGTATAAAAGAAAAGTAGGCGGTTAGTTTTTTCCAGAATTTCATGTTGGCAGCCAGAGGTCCAAAGAATTCATACGTCTCTGGAGCACACACCTCCATCTCGTGTCGAGATTAAGAATGGTGGAGCTTTACCCCTGTTCCTCCACACGTCTTCATGATACAGCAGTCATTCCCTTGTCAGATAGCTCTGTTTTGGGCCATTATCTTGCTTGAAGCCCAACCTCGGCGCTCTGTCAGGTAAATTCTTGCTCAAAATGTTAACATTTGTTTAAAAATTCATTATGCCGTCAGTAAAAGCCAGAGTTCCTATAGCGTCACACTCCGTAAATCTCAAAACATTTGCGTGACTGCCACCATATTTTGCCATGACTTGAAAAATTTTCATTTTTGAGTTCGGTGTTGGCTTTTCGCCAAATTAATTTTACACCATCCTAACTAAAAATATTGAATTTTCTTTCTTCGAAAAATATATTCCGTCTATTTACAAACTGTGGGAAATGTGTCTGTCTGAGCAGTAAAATAAAAGTAAAGCTATCCCCGTAACAGGCCGAGGAGGCCCATAGGGTTGTAAGATGTTGAGGCTCCCACATTTTCTAGACAATCGGCTCACAGATGTCGGCAAGGTTGTCAGCCTTACGCGCCGGCCGCTCTTTATCCCCAGGAAGATTCCTGATACTCATTTCTGTTAGAAACTGAGTCGACCCCAGGGCCATAGTGCGGCTGGAAGGATTAGGTCAATTGAAAAAAAAATTCAGTGACCTCATTGGGACTTGAACCCGCGACCTTCCGGCTTGTAGTATAGTGCCTCAACCAACTACGCTACCGCTTTATTAAATTGTGAATCAGCAGCTACGTCAAAATCCTAGCACTTGATGGTTGTTGTCGTACCTGTTTTATACGTTGTCACTCCCTGATAGCAAATTTCGCCACCTTGAACAAGGTCTATTTTCAGTTATTCCAGTGTTTACTTTACTCCACATGAGATACTGCACTGTTGAAAATTTCAGGTTTAATATTCTTCTCTCGCTAGTTCTTACCTTGAAATCGCAAAATACAGATCTGTTCCCATACAAGTGGGGGAAATTCAAATTAATTTGAAGATATAATTAAATACCAGTAAACAAAAAATGAACTGTAATGTCTGTAGAATAATCCCATTTGAAGTACGGCACGAGATTTGTTGCGAAGATTAATACTTTATGCTGCTGTGTTTACAGATCTTTGTTGAGGATTTAGAGTGTGAAAATATTTTTTGAAAGTGAAATTTGCGTTTCGATTTGTAGAAAATCTAATTAGTATACAGAGTATCTGTCTGACAACGCACCTACGAAGTAAATTCATTTTTATTAATATTGCTATTATTTTAAGCAAGTTAGAGCAATAGAAAATGGGATGCGTACACACTCGTTGTGCCCACTGTAAGGCCAACAGCACAGCGCGCACAAAACGAAGAACACACGCAATAGTGCTGATACACTGTAGCTGTTCGTAATGCTGCAGCTATTGAAAATATATTGTCACGTGTAGGGTGGTATGCGCTACGAAAATGACCTTGGTCAGAAGTTCTCCTAATCACATTTAAATACAGCGCTATCGCTGATTTGCACAATTTACAGTTTACCGTTGCGCAAGAACTAGGATTCTCTGTTTGCACTAGTCATCTCATAGCAACAGATCTGAACACAGAAACTATCACAATGAAGGGTTCATGTCTTCTACGAACTTCCTATGGCTGTCTTACGCCAAGAACTCTCAACTGAACTCGTAGCGCCGTTCGTCTTTAACATAACGCCTTTGCACGGACCCCAAGGAAAACACCGGCAACAGACTTCCTACAGCGCCGTACTTTTTCTCGACGCGGACCGCATAGAAAACGGTTTCCTTTCTATTGTTTTCTGTATTCGTGTTACAGAGCTGTTGCCTGCCGACGCGTTGATGAGATCCGTTACAATATGTATGTACT